ATGCAATGCAGATTGATTATGAGTACCTAGTTCCTTTTTAAACTGAAGTTTTTGGTTTCAAAGTTATTTTACATGCGGTTCAAGGTGGTTTAAAAAAGCTTCTTTTCCGGACATATCTAAAAACGACCAGGAAGAACATGAAATTCTCACAAACGTCTTTCTGGTCCCATGGCAAAGTCAAGTACTGCACGGTGGCAGGGATATATTTTTCTTTCTTGTCGAGAAAGTGCAAGTCAAGAAAAAAATATGTCGAAAACTGTCCTCATATGAGAACAATGGTCTGATAGATGCTAGAAACGGAATTTTTCGCAACTGCATTCAACAACATGCCATTCTCCTCATCACTACGGCTCATCCTGCCGCCCGCACTACTACACATCGTTCTTGCATAGATCCGATGTGTAGGCCACTCGCATCGTTTGCGACTATCGCCTGTCTTGCTAGCGCCATATGCCCTTCCACACGATACACGCTGCCTAGACAACGATGCTACACTTCACGATAAAACCACGTCCCCCCAGGGTCCGTGAGATAGCCAAGATGGGCCAAGTCTTTTTTTTCCCTCTTTATCATCCTTGTTGTCCCGCTTGGTCCTCTCCCATACGCGCAACCCAACGCCGCACGTCACGCCTTCTATATTCATTCCTTCATCCCAAATCTTGCTCTCAGACTTTTTACCACGTCTCATATATCTCGAGTTAGCGACATTGCTTGTGCATGCCTACTTCTTAATAAACCACGTACAACCATGCACTTTGCCATTTCTCAAGGGGCATAAGCACGGCAAAAGCCACAAAAAAATCTTGCCATCCGTAGGCCGAGGCCCTTTCCTTTACATACTATGGATAGAAGTTTTCAAAGTACAAACACTACCTCCGCCGCGACCCCTCCCGCCTCAATGGCAATCTTTTCGTCTTCCACTTTCTCCAACGTTCAATCCTATCGGCACAGGAATGCGAAACGCTGTTATCCGCAATGAGGATCTCGCATCCCATTCAATACACGCCCCCCGAACACATTCGGTCACCTTGCCAAGGAGGTGGGCTTTATCCACCCATCTGACTTCTCAACCCCTTTCAGACGTAACAAATAACGATTAAAGCATGCGGCGACCCTAACAATTCCGCATCCACTTTCATTCCCCGGTGTCCTTTCAAAGGACAGTCTTTTTCTTTCTATCAGTCCTTTTGAACTCCAATATCCACTGCGCCACAATCGATGCAACCCTCACACACCTTCATTTCCCAGACCTCCTGTTGCGCTGCAAAAGCATTGTGCTCTTACAAGGGTTTCTTTAAAACAATGCTTTTCAATAAGTCGCACGCCAGTTTAAAAGAGAAAACCAGTTGCAACAGCTGAACCCTTGCTGACAACCCTCTCTTTGAAGCCCCCAAAACGCTCCCAGATTTGAAAAGGCGATGGCGAAGAGAAAGGATCTCCCGGCTTATGCATGAATGCGTTGCTCCGTGGCCTTCTAAGATGAAGCTCGGTTGTAGTTGCCAACAAAAGGTAGTACCTCTTTCTTCTCGAATGAAGTGACATTGATGCCACAACATTCTCAGTTGCCTGTAAACTTTATGACACTCATTGCTTTGATACTCACAAAGCAGAAACAAGCAATGTGATGTCGCAAAATTTACCTGATGCTACGTTAGTAGCGAGAGGGGTAGTGCGTTACAAGCGCCTTTGGAGAAAAGGAAAGTTGAAAGTCCAGAAGAAAAGGGTAGTTGGACTGCAATATGAAGCTGAGGGATGGGGTACATCGCTGCGTGCTGGGCATTCTCTCTCGAAGGCGGAACCTTCTGTCCTGCCATATCTTAACGCACGGGTCACGAAAAGATGTGCACAGAGATACAACTAGCGGCGATGCTGTGCGGCGAAGTCGGAGGCTAGAGTGATGGATGTGTACAGGCCTTCAAAAGCAACGCGGCGGGCGAGAGATGTGCAGAAGCGTGAGGAGCACTGAGACAAGCAATGAAGGGAAGGCGTTCCCGCGTAATCCACACAGGTTCCGTGGATGAAGGTAGTTGAAACGGGATAAATTTGGACATGTTTCTAACCTGCACAGTGTACGTAGCGGAGAGGAAGGCCGTGATAGAAGGGCAGGATAGGGCCGGACCAGGGCTGTTATGGCACATCGGTGTCTGAATGTGTTAAGGAGATCCAACCATTGACGCATTCCTTCTTGCAAGCACACTACACCACATGTTGAAGCGGAGCACCTAGTCGCCATCCACCCCCACCCCACCACTTCTTGCGCTCTCGCGTGTTCCTTCGTTGCATACTTTTCTCTCCCCACGTCATGTTTTCCTCCATCTAACTTCTTTTCTTGTCACGGTCGTGTTGTTGCTCTTTTCCGCGACCGCGACTTGCCGGGAAGGACTCTCTGTGCTGCCGCGTGTGCTTCCAACGGAAGAGCTCATGTTTACCGACACGACAGCGGAGCTTACTGGCCCATCTCCACGCAATTCTCGCATCCCAGCTGTCCACATCACTTTGTTCTCTGTCTCTAGCGGCGCAAACGTTGCAGCAACGCCAACAATCTCCTTTCCGAGTGGTGTCTCTTGGACCATCTCTTGGACCTTCAATCTTTTTGCTCTGCATCGTTCCTCAACTCATGCTGAACACAGTGGCACATGAGTCTTGACTGCCAGTCGCCGCCGCGTCCAAAGCGTTGCAGAACTGAAGTGCAGCGATTGCTACATGCGTATGCATTTTCGTGGAATAGAATGCGTATGTCCTGCTTTAACCTTGCCCAAATGCAATCTAAGAAAGCGTCTTAGTTTCGCTGTTCGTTGAGAAGGGCAAAGAGTTTGTAGTTAGTCTGTCTCAACGCCGGAAAAAGGTCTATTTTTCTGTCATTGTACCCAAACACCCTATCCTGCGAAGACCCAGCATCAAAATATTAACTGCACAGCCAGCTCACACACATACCGTAGTAAACACCAAGAGGATTCGTTCTCGTGGAGATGATTTTTTTGCAAAAGAAGCAGTAATACCGTCCTTCAAGAGGATATAACGATTCCACATGGGGATCAACCTTTTGCAGTCACGGTAGGTTCTGCGACACTCCGGTGTGAGACTTGGACCTGCAAGCGATTGCGTAGGAGCGCTCATGCGTTTGCGACTGTTTAACCGAGGACATGGAGTACTTCATGCTGAGATTCCAGCTCAAGTCAAAGGACGTTTTGCAATCTTCGAACGATTCGGAAACAGTTTCTTGAAGCACGGAGGACGACGCCATCGTGACTATCACGAAGCGACCTCTTCACTATTCAAAGGTAGTTGTTCTTGGAGAGATCCGCGGGGGTTCAGAGCACGGCTAAAAAGTAGACTTGGACAGAAAAAATGTCATGAAGGAAGGCTGCGATGGGTGCTCTGCTCCGAAGACTTAGCACTGCGATTTGCTAGTATCTCTCAAGGCACTGATGCCCTCTCTACGAGCTTGCAGATCGAAACACCTAGGCTGATGCGGTATGGGAAGGGCAGCCTCCGATGCCTGTGAGGCGTTTCGCTCTATAGGCCGTAACGACTATACCACCCGCCCTCAGCTGGTGTCGAGAGGGGCCCCCGACACCAAACTCTTCTTGATTAGAAGAATCGTTTCCAAGATGCCACAAGAGCTTTCAGTACTTTCTTACTATTCGTTTGTGTGTATTGATCGGCTTGTCCTGTACTTTGCCGAGAATACTGAAGAAGAGGTGTCTGTTTGTCAACCATTCTACCTAAAAGCGAGACATTAAAGAAGCGCCATGGCTCTAAGGACAAGCCATGCCCTTGCGTACAGTGCGCATGTGCAGTGTCGAGGGTGATATTGTTGGTTGAAGCAACCTTGCCCTCGTCAACGGGTGCCCGTCATCAACAAGTAGAGCCTTGTGCAAGCCATAAGCGGTCCTGCGTTGCTGGGGCATGAGCCTTGAGACGCATTCGGTATGGCCGTTTTCCACGTGAGATTTCTTCCTCATATCGGCGCCAGCCGCCCACCTCGTGGTTTTGATTGGTTGGTACCCTTGGATACTGTGCATAGGGCACCCAGCCGAAGAGCATCGATTTCGTCTTTGAGCTCAAAGCTTCAGCCTCCCGTGTGAGCCCTTCTCTAGCTACCCTTGGTAGCCACCGACGAGTTAGAAGACGACCACCAGTGGCGGTGATTGAAATCTCACTCAGCGAGTAAAGCTCCGCAGCCGCCCCGTCCCCGACAGAACACCAGTCCAGCCGAGCGCCCATCACTCAGCCCCCGTCAACAGGTATCGACAATGGGCTCCGGCCACGCGCCTCCGTACCGACCGCTCCTACCATGTGCCGCCGCCTTTGTAGCGGGCGTCGGGGTACGTCTCGCGGCGCCGCATCGGTCGCTGTCTGCGGCGGTGTCTCGCACGCGCGCGCCGGTCCGTTGCTGCCAGCCGGCGCTGTCCGAGCGGGCGCGGGCGCTGATAATGGAGCAGCAGGCGCACCCGTTGTTCGACGTGAGCAAGGCGTCGGCGGACCTGTGCGCGCTTCTGGCGCGCGCGCAGGAGGAGGGCGAGTTCGTGGACGCGAGGCTGCTGCCGACGCCCGGCGACGCGAGGGCGCGCGCCGCGGACGCGATCCGCGTGCACGTGGACGCGGGCATTGAAAAGGCGAGGGCGACGGTCGTGCGAGAGTTTCCGGGGATCGATCAGCCTGGCGGTGCGCTGCACCCGGAGTATAGGGCGACCGCTTGCTGGAGGGATTTGAATGAGTTTGCTAGGGTCTTGTCGTACGCGGTCGCGACGGGGAATGAGGTGTATTCGGACAAGGGGGTTGAGGTTATGAAGATGGTGTATGAGGAGCTTGGGGTCCCGATCGATCCGATGTGCATGGGGATCGCCGTGCTTGGGCAGGAGATTGGGGAAAGGATGGGGGAAGATTATGAGGGTAGGACGGAGATTGGGAAAGCGTTTGGCACTTTGCTTGAAGTGTTTGGAGGTTTCTAATGGCACGACGACTCTAAATGTGTTTCTTCGTTGCGCGGTTGCTCGTTTCTTTTGCGATTCGTTTTTTTTTTCTTTTTACATGGCAGTTACTATTATCCTTCCGGAGTTACTTTTCGCTGCCTTGAACCGCGACCCTAAAACTACAGTCGGACTATCGTCCGTCTCTTCGCCCTCTGCTTGCATGCCGCAGACTTCGGAAAACGCACGCCGGTGCGAGACCCGACCGTGCAAGCTGCGGCCTTTGAGGTTGAGCCGCAGCGAGGAACCACTGCCTCGGTCGGCATTGCTTGGCTCGTTGGTGGGGTCGGGTCGCGTGCGTCGGCGTGGCTTCTGGCGGTATCTTCTTCTCCACCCGGCGCTTTTCTCGATTGCGCCGAGACCTGGACCCCATCCCACCCCTTGATCGCGACGAGGCTGTGGCCGTGGCCGACCATGGGGCGAGACTTCTATTCCCGCCAAGGCCCGGTACATCTCTTCGCCCGAGATGACGGGCTGCAGCTGCTCGACCGGTGCGACCGGCCCAAGTCTTCTTGATGAGATCCCCCCCTGTTGTTGTTGTGGATGTGGGGGGACCGCTTGACAAGGCCCTGAGGCCGCCGCCGCCGCCGCTGGCGCTTGCTCGCGAAGGCCCGTTGTGCGCGGACCTTGGTTGGCGGGCTCGAGCGCTGCCTCCGTCCAGTACCTTGCCCTTCGCCGTCGCGAGCGACCAGCAGAGCTCCCAGCACCCCTGACGCTGGCCGGTTGCGGACGACGATCGGCTGGGCGGTCGTGCGAGAGCCGGGCCCGCTCCTCTCGAAGCTCGTCGAGGAAACTGCGGCAGTCATTGCCCGACTCTGACCCGTTGTGCCGCTCCGCCTCCGAGCCATCTGTCCCGTTGTCGCTCGGCGCGTCGTTCCATCCTTCGGCGGTTGCGCGACGCTCGTGCCATGGCGTCGTCGAGCGTCGGCGTCGGATGGTTGCCGAGAGGGGTGGGCAAGCCCCCTCCTGCGTCGAGCCCGTGCCGGTCATGGCGCTGCTGCTGCTGCTGCCGTCGGCGCCGTTGTCTTCTTCCTCGTCGCCCTGCAAGACGTCGAGGGCGACGGCCTCGGCCACGGAAACAACATCTTGGGCAAGCCATGCCGCCGGCTCTTGTTCCTGTGGCGGAACGGCCGCGGCGGCCCAGATGCTGTGGCCCGCGATAGCCCCAAAGCTGCCAAACTGCAGCGTATCCCCTCCGTGAGGCGCGCCGCCGTTGTCGCCGCCGGCGGAGAGGGTGGGCGTGAAGCCCGGCGGGACCAGCGGCGATGAGGAGACGGCGGCGGCTGCTTCGGCGAACGCGGCCGGAGTGGGCGGCGGCGAGTCGACGGCGTACAGGCGGCCGTTGTCCACCATGCCTTGGAGGACCCTGTCCTCGAACTCCCTTTCCAGCTGGGCGAGGCGCTTTTCCGCCCACCAGTGATTCCATAGGTGCTCGCTTGGTGGGGGAGTGCACGGCTCCAAGCCGAGCGGGTAGTGGGTGGGTGGGTGCTGGGGGTCGTCGGGGATGGGCAGGGCGACGAAGCGCGGCTGTGGGGTGGGGCGGAAGCACGGAGGCGTCGAGGTGGCGTCGCGGTACGGAGTGAGGATGGCTCGCTCGCCAAACAAGAGCGGCACGTCGTCTTCGTCCGCGGGCTGGACCAGGTCCCACTGCTCGGCGACCAAAAAGGCGCCCGTCCTTCCCATGGCGGGCTTGTGGGTGCGACGGACGCGGCGCAGGTCGCGCGAGAGATGCGCGCCCTTGACGAGCGGCGGGAGGACGAGGTCGAGGTCGGCCATCTCGGCGTTGAGGACCAGCCCCTTGAGGGCACGGAAGCGTAGGACGCCAGGGATGCCCCACGCGGCCAGGACGAGGGCCTCGGGCTGGCAGGTGCGGCGCGGGCGCAACGGGATGCCCGGAAACAGCAAGTCGGCGAGCGCGGCAGCCGTGGCGCACAACTTGACAGTCCAATCGCGGGGCGGGGCGGGGCCACCGGGGACGCGAGTCCAGACGCACGTGGTGCCCTGGGATTGCGCGGGCTGCTGGTGCGACGGCTCCATGTGGTCCCACGACTGGACGTGGGCAATGGCGCGGTCCAGGCCTTCCGTGACGCGCATGGCGGCGAGGGTCATGATGAGCTGGAGACCCTCCTCTTCCGCTGCGTCGACGGCTTCCGCAATGAAGATGGCCTCTGCCCTTTCAAACTCCGACACCGGGATGTAGGTGCGGTAGTCGAGCAGGCGCAGGGCGGCCATTTCCAATCCCTTGAGCTCAAAGAGCGAGATGCCCGTGAGGACGGCCATGTGGGGCGTCCAGATGGGGTTATCCTCGAGCTCCTTGACGGCGAGGACGAAGCAGGCGGCGACGATGCGATGGACGTTGGCGGCGGTGAGCTGCAAGGCCGGGCAGTTTGCCAGCAGGCGGTCCATGTAGACGAGGACGGCGACGAAGACGCTGGGCGATACGCGCGACCCGGCGAACAGGGACGTGAGCCAGACGTCGAGCGGCGGGAGGCTGGTGCCCGGGTGAGCATCGAAGGGGGTGGGCGGCTTGTGCAGCGCGGCCGCGAAGGCCGCGCGGTAGTAGGGCGGGCGCAGGGCGTCCGGCAAGAGCGGGGCCGGAAGCTGGCGGGCCATAGCCGGGAGGCTGAGCTCGTCCGACACGACGGTCTCCAGGCGGCGGCGGAAAACGGCGGCGTTGCGCACGCGGGCCGGCAGGACCGTGAGCAAGATGAGGGCGACGGCGCGCAGGTGGTGCGACAGGCGCAGCGGGGTGGAGGAGGCCGGCGACGGGATGAAGAGCGAGGCGACTGCCTCGTGCGTGGCGAACACCATTGCGAGTTGTGGTGTTGGTGGTGGTGGTGGTGGTGGTGGTGGCGGTGGGTGCGGTGGATGTGCGGGGGTGGAGCGAGCTGAAGCGGAGCGTCTCTCACAAGCTCGGGCGGAAGGTTTTGGGCTCGGGCTCGGGCTCGGGCTCGGGGGGGTGAAGAGGGTGCGGGGAAGAGCGGGGGGTTTGCAAAGCGACGGTGTGTGCAGGCGTAGCGCGAGAGAGTTTTGCGGAAGTGTTTT